TATAGATAACAAAATCTACCACTTTAACCACTTTCAAGTGTAGAGTTTAGAGCCATAAAGTACACTCACATTGTTGTGCAAACATCACCACCATCAATCTTCATCTTTTCAGATTGAAACTCAGTCTGACAAAGAACTTTTCTCTAAGTAGTAATAGAAAGAGAAGGAGAAGAAAAAGTATGAGACATATGGTTAAATGCCAAAATAAACTATTTCCAGGAAATTTTTAAATTGTGTGGAATCAGGTCTCTTACCCCTCAAGGGATGATTCTCCAGGAAGACCGGGACATACGAGAAAGTGACTCTGAGTCCAAAGTATACATCCGCTAGGGGAACCCTGATTGAAATTTGCATAGTACCTCTGTCAAAAGGTGTTTACTACTTCCCAGAAAATAAGGTAAGCTTGGTTCAAATTCCCACCTCACAGACCATGAAAGTCAAGACCCTGCAGGATTCCTGAAGGCCTAATTCCTGAGAGTCTTGCCCTGTGAGCACCTGAGAGCACAGCCTCCTGCCATGTTGGGTGCAAATCCCAGTCCACATTGATTTCCACTAAATTATGCTCCCAACAGTGGATTTTTGTATGCAGAGAAGTCATTGAAGATTTGAGGGGTCAGGCCAGGCTCTCCGCAGTCTTCTACCACTTCATTCTTTCTCTTCCCTTCTTGTCTCTTCTTCTTTTTAGTATCAACAGCTCCTTCCCCCAGCATCTTGTAGTGTTGGTGTAAAGATTATTTTAAGTTGAAGACATTTGGTACCCAACAAATGCTGATAAAATCCTTAGAGCTTCTCATATCTGACTAAAAGCAGCAACTTTCTGGAAATGAGGCTGTCATACATTGCCTCTCCATCGGAGTTTAATGACCCTGAAGAAGGTGGAAAGACCACTTATACTTGTATGGACAAACATCATCATAAATTTTTTTATCTCCTACTTATTCTCTTAAGAAATCCACTTATTTTTCCTAAGGAAATATTTTTGTACTTCTGTGAGTCTTTTCTGACCATTTCCTTTCCCCTAAATTCGGCATATCAACCCCAAATTCCAAAGATCCTTTTCAGTTACTCATCACTGAACACTCCCACATGTATATACCTTACACGCATAAATAAACTTTTTCTTTACATTACTTTCCTGTGTTGGTTAGGGTTCTGTAGGGGTATGGAATCAACGGGGGGAGGGTGTGTGTGTGTTTGTTTGTTGATTTAGGTATTTGTGAAGGGGAATTTATTAGATTGACTTACAGGATCAGAGGCTGAATAGTCCACAGTGGCTGTCTGCGTGTTGGTGAGCCAGAGGATCTGGTAGCTGATCAATAAAAGAAACCAGAAGCTTCAGAACAGGAGGGATCAAGGATGCAGCATCAGCCCAAAACTGAAGGCCTAAAAGGGACCTGGAGAGTCACAGGTACGAGTCCATGTTGAGAGGCAGAAGCTGAAGGCTGCTGTCCATAGGTGACGGCAGTAGCAAAAGATGCTCCCACTCAAGCAGAAGGAAGCTTTTAAACCAGACCAACTTCATCCTTCTTCCTCTTTTTTATTCCTTCTGGGTTGCAAGCCTATTGGATAGAGCCACCCATAATCAGGGTGGTTCCTTCCCCCTCAGGTGGCTGGCCTATATGCAGATGATCTCTGGAAACACCCCCACTGACACACCCAGAAGTGTGTTTTACTAATCTCCCAAGTGTCTTTAACCTGGTCAAATTGACAATCAAGATTAACTGTTGAATCCCCTAAGCTTTCCACCTCCAGAGTCTCAGCTTCTATTCCAGGTGGGATTATCCAGAAATTCTCCCAAGGTATGTTTCCTGAGCCAACAAGGCAATTCTTGTACTAGTTGCAGAGATGAGAAAAATTTCTCCTTTTGGCTGCATAGGCATGTGAAAACCAGACAGCTTGCTTCTTCGGGAGATGGATCTAGATAAAGCCATATTATTCAAAGGGGTATTTGTAGTTTTTGGCCAACCACTATCCACAAACTCTCTTAAGTCTGTGGCTTAAGAAAAGCTATTAGTTTAGGAAAAGCTATTCCTTAGACAGGAAGAAAATTGCAAAGCTTTTGTCAAAATATTTGGCCACCAAAATATTCCTGTTTGCTTACAGAGACAATGTATGAATGCCACAGTACTGTCTGTTCTGTTTTATGATCAAATAACAGATTCTACTGATTTGCATTAGCAATTTGAGAATGAGGATCCTTCAGAAGTAACCTATCATGGCTTGTATCTAGATGTTCCCCCACAGCCTCATACCATCACAGATGAGGCTTTTCAAAGGTGGCTGGACCTAGAGTGTGTGATGCTGAGATCAATGATGTGATTTGGGATTGATTCATGGTGCAATGCTAGGATTCAGGCTGCCCCCCGGTGTGAGTGCTACCCACCCTAAGGGTGGGGAGCCTTGATAGGATATGAGGGACAGAAAGAGGGCCTTTGCTTGCTGCTTCCTTCCTTGCTATTTTGCTGCTTTGCTGCCTTCCTGCCTTCTGCCCACCACAAACTATTTCTCCTTTGTGACCCCCCTCTGCCATGCTGCTCTGCCTTGGAGCCAGCCAACTATGAACTGAAGCCTCTACAAACTGTGAACTTGGTAAACCTTTCCTCCCTTCGCTTTGGGTGTTGGGTACTTTGTTTCAACCACAAGAAAAATAACTAAAACATAACCAGGTAACAAGTTCCAAATGGCAGATAACGTACATATGACTGCCTCTTCCTCCTGTCTTAACTTTTGAGAAGTGACAGAAATAATTACTGGAAGAAGCTTCCACAACCACGCCAGGAAGAAAGAAGAAATGCTATTGATGAACAGGAATTATGAGAAGGTAATTAAGTGGAATAAAGAAACTACAGTATAAAAAACGATGTGGGACAAGGTTGCCAAAGGAAAGAATACAAAGAATGAAGAAAAAAGGAGACAATGGAGAGGGGACCACATTAAAAATAAGATAGAAACAAAACACTCCAGAAGAGAAGAAAACCATGTGTCCTGAGACTCAAGGGTCTACTTAGTACCCCAAAATGATCATCAGACACATAATGGTGAGATTTTACAATAATAAAGATCAAGACTATTCCTAAAAGCTTCCAGAGAATACAAAACAACCAGCAGTTATTTAAGAAAGGCAGAGAACTACATTAAGCAAACACCTCTTTGTATCAGCATCCAGGCCAGTGAGACAGTGTAGCAGGTTCCTCAAAGCTACAAGAAAATACCTTTTTGAGCCTACAGTCTCCACATTAGAAAGTTGGGACATCCTATTCAAGACTGAAGTGAGATAAATATATTTTAAAAATAGACAAGGAACTATATCACTGAAAGATTCACCAGAGCATGGCATTTATGTTTTAGGACCTGTCAAAACTATAGATGACTTTCAGCCCTGGGATAAGTATTATTTTAATTCTTTAACAACAAAAACAGATGGAAGCTTTGAAAAAACAGAGATAGAAATCAATCTTTCACATTGTTGATCTTCTTATAAAGTTTGACATTCCTCATATATTGATAAATGTCCTTTATTAGACAAACATTTGTAAATATTTCCTTTCAGTCTGAAGGTTGTCTTTTTATCCTCTTGACAGTGTTGTTCAAAGGATAGATCATTTAGTTGTGATGAAATCCAATCAATTATTTTTTGCATGCTTTTGGCTTGCACCTAAAGAATCTTTACAGATCCCAAGGTTACAATGTTGTCCTCCTGTTTTCCTTTGTAGGTTTTATAGTTTCAGGTCTTATATTTAGGTATGTGTTGGATTTTGAGTTCATTTCCATGCACAGGGCAGGGTAAGTCCCTTGGGCTTTTAAAAATGAGCTGGATTAAGGAATACCTAAGAAATTTAGCAAAGCATCATTGGCTGAGTCTGAGAGGGTGTTTTGAGAGGAAATGGGCCTGGGGATCTGAGGGATGTGGGGTGAGCAAGACCTCCCCTCTTTGTGAGTGAATATCAGCCAGCCAACTGGGAGCCCCTGAGAATAAAAACAGGAATGGTGAATATGTCCCTTTGTCTCCCCGAGCAAGACATACTCCTTTTCCCCTTCCCGTTGACCTCAGGACCTCAGGATCTCTTGTCTTTATGCTTCAGTTCTCGGGCCTTTGGCCTATGAGAGCTATATCAATGACTTCCCTGGTTCTGAGGACTTTGGACTCAGCCTAGGTACCAGCATCCCGGGGTCTCCAGCTTGCAGATGGCTTATTGTGGAATGTCTCTGTCTCCATAACTGGCTGAGTCAATTCCCCTAATTAATCTCTTCTCTTAAATCTTTATATGTATCACATTGGTTCTTTCTAGAGAACCCTAATATGACCATCATGTGCCAATAACATAGGTATAAAATATTAAAGCAAAGCTCAATAGAAAAAGAAGAAAACATAATGGCACAGTTATATATAAAGCCAAAACAGAAATGAAAGGAAAAATTGACAACATCTCATACTTCATATACAAACTATTACATCAAAAAGATTAAAAAATTAGAAAAATAGACCATTTGAATAAAAATTTGATTTTGTAGTTTTATGCCTAATAGAGAATATAGTTTTCAATCATATTACTTGCTATTATGTTTTGGATTAAAATTCAAGTTGAGTCACAAAGGAAATCATAATAAATTCCAAAAGGCAAAAATAAACCTTTAATACATGTAAAATGTAATAGTTAGATATTAACAGCAAAAAGATTACTGAAGGATCTTACCCACTTGAAAGCTTTCGAAAACCACTTATTATCATATACATTTTAAACTGTCCTTGAGTTAAAGAAGAAATCATAATGGGAATTAAAATATCTTTCTATTTTGGTAAAAAAGAATATTACAGAGCAAAATCTGTGAGTTATAGACAAAAATGATATTGTAAGGAAAATTTGTAAACATAAATATTTTTCTAACAATAAAAGAGAACTTACAATCAAATTAATCTTTTAGCCGAAGGCGGTAGGAAAAGTACAAAATAAAACTCCACCTTCAGTTGAAAATTTTCTTTAAATTAGATATAGTGGAAAACAGCCTTCATTTGATAAAGGCGGTGTACAAAAGACCTCCTAATCATCACACTTGTGATTACGTCACGCCTAGTAAGTCTCAGGGTGAGGATGTTGTCTGCTGCCAGTGCCACTCACTGCAACGCTTGAGCTTCTGGTTCCAAGCGTCCTCAATCCAGGTGGTCTGTTGGGACCGTGTTGGAGTCTTACAATAATGCCAGCGTCTCATTCTAGTCCACTTGAATCAGAACTTCTGGAGATAAACGCCAAGCATTGGTATTTTATGAAACTCTAGTTCATGGAGGTCCAACCTTTGGCTTGCCTAGCCCACACTGAATGAAGAGGAAGTGTCTTGGGTCAAATATAAAATATATTATACCTATTATGTAGGTAATAAAACTCTTTTATATTTTAGCATATTAAATTGTTTATAACAACATAACAAGCCAAAGTTTAATAATTAAATAAGAAAACCTGTAAGTCTGATTAATAACAGCAAATGCTTGTCTTCACAGGCACATACACACAGGTAAGTTGAAACAGTATTATTAGTAATCACTACATTTTATTTGCCAAGTTTCACAACCACATGTGACATCTGATATATGTAGGTTTCAATTCAGCCATGTGTGGTGGACTTAGCAGGCAGAGTTAGAGTACTGTGGCCTCCCCTGCAGTGTTCTGCTGTGACCAACACAGTCTGCCCTCGAGCACTGTGCCTTGAGCTATGAAAAATATTACATAATAGTGTTAAAGTTTTACAATCTTGTGAGGTCACACATTACTGGATGTAGCCAGTGGGTTGGACACACTTACTCTAGGTACATACAGTGAAGATCAATCTCCCTTTGAATCTATGAAGTGAAACAGAAGCAGTAACTCTCTCCCTCTATTCTCCTTTCCTTCTTTCTTTATTGTCATTGTTTTACCTGTGTGATGATATAATTCCCCAAAAGACTGGAGGCCTACAGGTCTGTTTCTTGTCAATGTCACTTGCATAGACCTAGGTATGGTTTTCAAGTCTATTTACTAGGATGGGCCCATACCCTTCTCGCAACTTAATAAATAAATTTTAAAGCATTTAAAATACTGGAAAAGGGGAGGTTGAGAAGTGATACTCTCAATCCTGCCTGTACTGCAGCCTTACTGTCTTTCTTGGTGAGTTGATAGCCTCACCTCTTGCCACGGCTTCCATTTCTCAAATACAGTGTATAACTGCTCCAGTCTGAGACGCAAAAGCAGTTGGGGTTTTCAACCTTGTGAAGATTCAAATAATGGCATTTTCAGTTCACTTAGTTTCCAGGCCACAGGCAAGGAGTGTCTTCCTTAGCAATAAGACATTTCCTTCTATTTCTGCTTGTGAAGCAAATTCATGACTGCTACAAACTTTGATAAAAGTGGCAAAAAGGAATCAGCTTATCCTAACTTTTTTGATTTTCCTTATCATTTCCTTTCATACTGTTGTCTTATGTAACATGAGATCCACTTTTCACAGTCAGAGATTCACCAAGGGTTTTCCATCTTATAATAAGGGTCACCAACTTTCTAGCCTGCAGGATCTGAGACCTAAATAGCATTTTCCTCACTTCCTACCCTTACTCATTTCCATATTTTTTGTTCTTCTTTTGGAATACCACGTTTCTGACATTAAAATCTGCATTAGTTAGGATTAGACTAGCGCAACATATTGAAAACCTGATGCGTGACTTACCCCACATCAAGTATTATTTTTTGTAAATGGATGGAATGTATTCCGTTGGTATGACATCCTATGAACATCAGGAACCCTGTCTTCTATGCTTTTACTTTATCATCCTAAGTGAGTAGTTTTCTTCCTTATGATTTTCTCAGAATCCAAGATTCAGCCATCAAAGGGTATTCCAGGCAAGAAAAAGAAGGAGGAGAAAGGAGGACGAATGTGTACAACTTGTGGCAGAGTCGATCCTCTTTAAAATGTCTTTCTCAGACCACCTACTGGAAAGTTTTGTTTTTCTCTAATGATCCAAGCTGATATAGAAAGAGATCCAAGATGTGATGAGTGAAAATAGCACACACACACACACACACACACACACACACATACACATGCACACATGGCCCCATCTCAAAAGGCTCTATGTAGCTTGCTAATATACATTTATATATGTGTCTATTGGCACACAGATCTCTGTGTTTGTATATGCAGCCAGATTTCTGTATCCCTAATTTCTACATTCATGGACTCAACCAAGGGTGGACTGAAAATATTTGAAAAAATGCATTTGTTCTGAACATGTATAAACTTTTTGCTATTATTCCCTAAACAATCCAGTATAACAACTCTTTACAAAACATTTAGGCTGCATTAGGTATTATAAATAATCTAGAGATGATTTAAAGCACATGGGAGGATGTGCATGGTTTCTCTGCAAGTACTATGCCATTTTATATAAAGGACTGGAGCACTCAGAAATTTTGGTGTCTGCCAGGGTCCTAGAATCAATCCCTATAGATACCTAGGGATGGGTACACATACACACACACAGACACACACATACATAAACAAACACATACACATACACACATATGGTTCTGGAATATAGTCACTAAATTAAGAACAATGGAACCTTTTTTTGTTGTTGGTTTTTTTCCTGTACCAAGAATTGAACTCATGACCTTGCGCTTGCCAGGCAGACACTGTGCCACTGAACTAAATCCCCAGCCCCCACAGTGGAACCTTTGGTGAAAGAACTTGGAATAAAAAGTGATGCTCAGAGGAAGTTTGCTCTACTTTATCTGTAGTGCTTGAAATGTTTATTTGTACATGGGCAATTATTTCTATCTGTTGGACATAAAAAGGATATAAGAAAGTCACCAGGGTCTTGTTGGCACAGAGGGTATAGATCGGTGGATGCTAGGAGGGCCTCTGGGGCCAGAGTCCGCAGACCTAGGTTCCGAGTCTTCCCGAGTAGCCACTCAGGCTAAGGTTCTCCTGATGATATCCCTGCAAAGATGCTGGGAATTTCATGGAAACAATTTATGGACAAATGCTTTGTAAGATTTATTGGTGTATATAAATAATACTATATAATTTATGACATCCATTTCAAGTGCACTGTATATTTTATTATGTAATTCTACTACTGTGTAACATTGTATACTTGTAATGTGTACCACTTTGTAATATTTAGTACCAAATCTAGAGTGAAAGCAGACATGTCCTACTGAATGTAGAAGATAAGGAAATATTAACTGATTTAATACATGTAAAAGTGCCAAGTCATTGATTTTTAAAGGCTCACACGCAAAATGACAAGCTGAGTTTCTAACCTGGGTCCTCTGATCCTAAGCTCTGAATTCTTTCCACTTGACTTCTTAAAACTTTAACATAGTCCTGTCCTCCTTCCAGTCTTATTACAATATTGGACATATTCAGTGACTTTTTTCTTTTTGTTTTATTTTCCTTTATCACAAAAGCCATTATTTTCAACACTGGAATTTCTTAGATTGCCAGTAAGTTGTCTTCTGTTTAGTAAAACACAAAACTATTGACTAACTGAATAGGAAATGGGACCAACTCAAGTTCTGAAATAAAATAGGCTGACTAATTATTTTAGTGAGTTGGCATAGTATATGGGACAATGTGGATTTTTGTTTAAAAGGTTGAATGAATACTTTGTGTTGAACATAATTATTATTACTCTAAAGTTTATATTTAAAAAATTACATGGAAACAACATGGATCTTAGAAGCCTGTAGGCTATAATATAAAAGGAAGATAGAGCTCTAAGTCTGAGGTTGGTGGATGGAAATTGATATACGCGGGTTTGTAGAATAAAGAGGAACCTGGCAGAGTTTATTAGATCAGACTTCAGCCTGCATCCAAGCTCAGGTCTGTTCACTAAGTATCAAGGTGTGGCCCTGGTACCAAGGACCTTCCATGTTGAAATTTATTAATCAATATTTACTCAACTTTAAAAATTGTTATTATCTCACCCTTAGTATTCATACCAGAGCATTGCAGTCAATTAAGTGCATCTTCAATTATTCAAAGCCTCTCCTGCAGAATTATTATACCTAAATATTGTGTTTTAATGAACTGTACTTAATTTCCACACCATCAAGTGACTGTTATGCTACATCTTCCTCCCAGGGGTCTGAGACAGTCTGTCTAGCGCTGCGGGAGACACATGGCTTTAAATGTCATCCTCAAAGCCTCCTCCTGCTCCTGTTCTCTTTGCCTACTAAACTGGGCTCAGTCATGGCCTTTTTAATTTACTGCATAAGATTCTAGAAGATGACAGTGGGAGAAGAGGGGCAGACAGCACTGCTAGTTTCCAAGTCAGGAGATCTTTAGCTGGAATGAAGGAATGGAAATCTGGAAATGATGATACACAGCCTCTGTGCTCTTAGGCTCCCGGAAAGGAAAGGAGAAACATAACTGCACCCTTCAGAGGGCTTTAGTCTCTAGACATTGAGATCCAAACCCAGGATGGGGAGAAAGTAAGGAGGAAAAAGACATACTTCGGGCAGCACATTTTTATTTCACCAAACTCACCTGTCTTGTGGGTCCCAGGCAGAGTCATGCGAAGCACATGTCCAGGGACATCAAGTGTCCTTTTCTGCACTCAGCTCATATTCCATGTAGCTTGGGCTTCCCAGGACCCACAGGACTTACTTGCTGTCAGGCAACAGAGCTGGGAAGTTCACTGATGGCCTCTGAAGGCTCCCCTGTCTTTCTCTCAGGGTTTCTCCTGGGTAAGGAGGTTCTATAAGAAGCTGTGATGATAGCTTAGAATTAGATGTGGATTCTTTGACCCAGCTCTATCAGGGCCTTATAACATATCAATTGTTATCTGTTGCTACACTTAAGGTACTGTATTGTTTCTTTTCCATAACACTTATTCTCCAATATACTACTTATCCAATTAATTTTATATATTGTCTGTCTCTCCCTTACTAGAATATAAGCTCTACAGAGGGAGCTTTTTGATCATTGTGTTCAGTAATGAACCCTCAGTGTCTGCCACATAAATATCTGTTAGAAAATAGAAGGAATGAATGATTGCTTGCCTGTGCCCAGCTGTCACTGCCGTACTCACCCATCAGTCATCCTCTCGAGCCCCACTGACGTGGTCAAGATGGGCTGACCATTTCTCTCACGGCAGAGAAATGAGACTTCAGATGCTTACCACAGATAGGATTTGTTTTCTACTTGTACCAGTGTGTCCAACCAGTTATCAATGGTGCTCAAATTTGCATGGGGTCTTCCTCTGGAGTGTTGCTGGTCACTGCAGTGTTAGCACGGCTAACTAAGGGATCACACACCAGTTCTTCTGTGCCCGACCCCAAAGGGAGTACAAGTCATTTCTGCTCACAGCCTGGGGCGCATATTCATGTGGGCACATAGGTTCTGCCTACCTGCAAGCAGTGGCTGGGAGGTGTGGGGCTGTAGGTGGCAGTTGGAGGGAATGGTGTTGCCCCCCCTGCTACATCCACTCCAGCCCCTTTGTACAGAGCCACATGCTGCATAACCACATTTTGTTTAAAAATCAATAGCATATAAACCAAAAGACTCTAAGGAGCTAAAAATTTTCCATTGCCAATAAATCTCATCACCATGAGGGTCAAAGGCGTTACTCAAGTGTTTGTAGTGACGCTGGTGAAAATAAACCTTCTATGCTGCCAGTTGTATAAAAATGTAGTAATATGACTATATACAGTCTTGATACTTGGTAATGATAATAAATGACTATCCACCATGGATGTGTGTTTACCATATTTACTTTTTATCATTACTTCAGGGCTTTCTTCTACTTGTAAACAAAGTTTACTATAAGCAGTACACTGAGTTACACAGGCAGTAACGTCATACATCTTGTGTTTACCACATATTTGATTATACGCTTTCTCTTACTATGGTTTTTTTTTTAGAGACAAGACCTCACCATATATTCCAGGCTATAGCCCAGGATGGCCTCAAAATCATGGCAGTCCTCCTGCCTCAGCCTTCTGAGTGCTTGAATTACAGGTCTGAGTCACGCCTGGCTCTTATTATGATTATGATGTTTGCACAATGAAGAAGTCAGCTAACAGTCCATTTCTCAGAATGTGTCCCCATTGTTAGGTGACACATAATGGGCAGAACATCCAGAAATGTCATAGGATGACCCAAAACTACAGGAATTGGACTTAGAACTTGTGACCACAGATTCTGGAGATATGGGGTGGATACTGGGTTTGCCATTGTATGGCAGATGTGTTTGGATAGAGCAAGCTACAACCCTTCCCCCAACCATAGAAATCACATTGATGTATAAAAATTAACAAGTACATCTATGACCGTACTGGCAGACTAGTGAAGGGCTTATTAGGGATTTGAATACTGAGGACCGTCTGCAAGAAGGAAAGAAGTAAGTAAGAAAAAAAAAAAGGAAAGAAGTACAATGAACCTCCTTTATCCCTGGTCTCCCTTTCTACAGCGTGTTTTCTCTTCACAGACAACACTCTTCCCCCCATCTTGTACCCACCCACACTCATTCACCTTTATGAATATCCACTTACCCCCACCAGCACTCATTCTTGCCAATAGCCATTTATCCCCATTAATACCTTTGCTTATTCAACTAGAGCTAGCCACCTTGTATGCCTGTGCAATATCCAGTTGACACCCACACTACTCTCCCCACCCAGTTTCGTCCTAGCCAACCATGCCTACTTACACAGACTGCTCTCTTATTCCTACCAAATGAAATTGCCACCTAGCACAGAGGGCCTCTCTGGGTGGAGTACTGGATTTCATCTTTTGGAATTCAAGGCAACTTTTGTTATGTCAAAAAAGTGTTTTCGATCCCCCACATATTAGTAGCACCATTTATACTAATTGCGGATCAAGTAAACACTCTATGTTAAAGAAGCTGGCATGAATTTGGTAGCTCTCAGCATCTGCATCCACTAGGAACACAGTTGTATATCGGCATGTAAGCATGAAACCTATTGCAGACAGTGCTTGGGGCACACAGGGAGTCAAGGGTCCTTCACAATAAAGCCGTGGCATGTGAGTTGGAGCCACTGAGGTAGAATAGCGCTACTGAGCAAGGCAGCAAAGTCCAGAGAGGTTTTCATTTCCTCTCTCACTTGCTGCTAGAGGAAAGCTGACCGAATGGCAAGAATCTAATGCCTGGTTCTGAGAGTGACTGCGTTTGTTTGTGAGCCTCTGTGAGTAGCAGCGTTTTGATTTAACTGCATTGCGTGTTTCCTCCTCACGAACAAACCCCATTTGCAATATAGACCTCGGCTTGCAACTAATAGAAACTGATATGTAGAAAATGTGATCCGTTATCTCCCCTGCTGTGGTCTGCTCACCTCCACGATTTCATTTCAGATTTGAAGGTGCCTGAAGATGCTAACACTATGCTGAGGATTTTTTGAAAATGAAAGGAACTTATTTAGGGCTATGTGCTAGATAGGGAAAGATTCCACGGCATATGGGTGTGAAGTGTCCAGAAGACAAACCCTGAACTCCTGGGCTTTTCTCCTATCGTTGTCCGCATTCCACCCTTGGCCATCCTGGACCACCTCCCCAGTCAGGTTCAGGGATTTTAAGCCTGGGGTTTGCCTCTGCCAAGAGCAGTGAAAGATAGTCTTAGAAGCCATAACTGCTTACCAGAAGTCTCCAAATCCTCAGTCTATCCCAGGTCACTCATTCCTTTAAGATTTAATTCAAATGGGTCCATGCTGATTCCCACATGCACCCAGTGACACGTGTGTGCCCCGTGTGACTTCTTTGACTTCTACAGTTGAGATTTCCTTTTAGACTGCTATGCAGCCCTTATGGAGGCTGAGTGGGGAGCTGACCGTTTCTAGTGAATACGGTATTGTAGGCTGGGCTACAACACCAGGGAGGTACCTCAGGGGCTGGTCTTTTGGATGTAGGAGCTCCCATCCTTTCAACTCATTGGCACTGACTCTGGGCCTGTCCCCTCCACTCAAGTCCCCACATTCACAGTCCCAACTTGGAGACAGCCTCTCCATATTTCTCTCTCCTTTACTCCTGTGCGCAACCAGCCTGTGGCTCTCTCCTCTGTATGAGCCATTCTATAGTGTCCCCCTTGTCTACAGAAGATATTTTGCAAGACCTTCATCAGGTTCCAGAAACTGTAAGTAGTACTGAGCCACATGCTATGCGTAATATATCTCAATATCCTAAAATAAAATTTAATTAAAGTCAATAACAATAAATTATGATCGACAAGTGATAATAAAACACAGCAATTATAACAATATGATCAAAGTTATTTAGAATTACAAATTATTTATTTCTGGATTTTTCCACATAATATTTTTGTATCACAGATAACTATAGGAAACTGCCACTGGAGAAAATGAGACCAGGGGTAAAGGAGGAACATTGTACTTTTTTCCTTTTTTTACTTCTTTCCTTCTTGCAGACAGTCCTCAGTATTCAGATCCCTAACAAGCCCTTCACTCGTCTGCTAGTACAGCCATAGATGTACTTGTTAATTTTCATAAATCAATGTGATTTCTATGGTTGGGGGAAGGATTGTAGCTTGCTCTATCCAAACGCATATCCGCCATACAATGGCAAACCCAGCATTCATTCCATACCTCCAGAATCTGTGGTCGGAAGTTCTAAGCCCGATTTCTGTAGTTCTGGGTCACCCTATGACATTTCTGGATGTTCTGCCCTTTATCTCCCCCTGAATCACCTCGGTTATCACATGACTTCAGTTGGTATTTGCCCAATTTCTTCACTCCCCACAATGCCAGCAGGGTAAGGATGTGTGTGAAGCACAGTTTACTAAGGTTTGGGCACCACATGGGGTGTTTCTGAGAGTGGCATAATCAGTAACATAACATGAAATGTTAGAAATCCTCGTGCACAAAACTACACTGGTTCTCCCTCGATATAAGTGGCTTCCACGGGCATTCTCCTCTCTCTGGGCTCCAGGCTCTGCCGACTTTCTCCTTCTCTTTGACTCAGGCTCCCAGGCCCCATTTCCCTGTCTATTTCACACATCAGATAGCCACAGATTTATTCGAGTTCACATCTTCCCAACTGTGCATACTGGGCCTCCCTTTCAAAATCAAACCCATACAAGGTTGTGTTTATGACCAGGTACATTCATGTTTGTGGGAAGAGCTAATGCTCACCTTTTGATGTTATTTCCACCTTGCATGGGACAGTTTTTCCTAGATTCCCAAATGGTTAGGCCAAGTAGACCTAGGAGACTCTCTAGTTAAACTCCCCACTTGAAGCTTGAATTCCTCCTATAATCACTGAAAATGTCACAAGCGCCACTCAAGTGATAGTGTTGGTCTTGTGTGTTTTGCCGTCTGGTAAATTTATGCATCTTCTTTTTTTTGTTATATTACATATTTTTATCTTCATTGGACTTGGTCAGATTACCAGATGTAAGAATGCAAGGTTAATCAAACCTTTAAAGGGAATAAACATTAACAAAAAAAATTATAAACGATATAGTGTTACACCAAACAAGATGATAGGAGTTCAACCATGGTTGTTATGTTGCATAGAGTTACCTTCAAATTAGTTGTTCAGATTACCAGATATAAGCATGCAAAATTGGTCAAAACTAAAAAATAAATAAATAAATTAAGCATTAACTGTTCCTTTCAATAAACGATTAGACATCAGCAGTACAGTTATCCCAGCTATCCTTCTGTATGCATATATATTTTTTCGCTTCCTTCTTTCTTTCCTTTTCCCCTTTCCCTTATCCCAGTTTTTTCTTCTTTTGAGCAATTTTTTTCCCTTTGTCAATATCCATTGTATGTTTTGGGTTCCACTTACTCTTTCATGTTCTTACACCAGGGAGACAATATGTTGTATACACATGCAGGTCTGATTTATTTCACTTATGAGTATGGTCTCTAGTTGCATCCATTCACCTATAAAAGCCTCGAGTTCATCTTTTTTATAGCTGAGTAATACTCCATTGTATGAAAATACCACATCATTTTTATCCATTCCTCAGTTGAAGAACATTTGGGTGGTTTCCAAGATTTAGCTATGACAAGTCTAAAGATGAAATACCAGTGGCATCTTCTCAATACTTCTGCCTCCTACTGAACAGTATATACCTCCCAGGGTTGTTTCAAAGATCAAATGGGATGGTGATGCACAGTGCTCTGTGCAAAGTCTGGTACACATTTGGCCTCTAAAACATGTTCACTATGAGTGCTCCGTCACTGAGCAGACCTGATAGATGATCAGTCCTTGAATCTGTTTATTTGTAGCTACTTTCCAAGGCATGTTGCTCTCAGTACCTGGAGACAAGAATCCTACTTGAACTTCTGTGAACAGCAGTGTCTCTTTGTTGTCTCTCTTCATGGGCAAACTAGATGTTACGATGTGTGTCTAGATGCGCCCTCCCCTACCAAGCTTCATGTGGTCATAGGTGGGCTTTTTCTAAGGTGACTGGATCTAGAGTATGTGATGCTAGGATTAAGGGTGTGTGATTAGTAAATTAGTCCCCTGATTGGTTTGGTATAGTTCAGGGTAGGATTAAGGGAACCCCACTCTGGGTGTGAGTGCTACACTTCCTGAGGGTGGGTAGCTTGGATAAAAATCTAGGGACGGAAAGAAGGTTAGTGTGGTTACTCGTCACTGTCTTGTCCCTGTTGCTTATTGCTGCTGCTGCTGCTTGTCTTCTGCTCTGCGGTTCCCCTCTGCCATATGCCACCCTGCCTTGGAGCCAGCTAATTATGGACTGAAACCTCTACAAACTTTCCTTCTTTAACTTTACAGAATTCCTAGGAGGTCAGCAGTTGAGAGAGAGGAAGAGACCCAGGGAAGGAACGTCTTGGGCACCAGCCTTGAGAAGCCCTCAGCTGTGTTGGGTGATGGGGAGGCCATAAAGGCTGGACCAGCAAGAGACTTCTCAAGGAATCTTTGTGATCTCAGGACTTGACTTTGGGCAGTGCTGACCCTGGTCCCCCACATCTTGGCACTCTTCTAGGGAAATGCTGAGCATTACTCAGAGCCCCCTCTGCC